GAATAAGATTGGATCATGGGGGCATTGTACTCCTCCATGGATGAATCCACAGGTAACTCAGAGCTGTGTGTGTGTGTGTGCAGTCACAGCTGGGGCCCGGCTGGAAGAGGCAGGTCGCTGAGGGGCTGACCTGGAAGGATGTGTCCCTCTTCCCAACTCCTCCTCTGTCTCTTTGCTTCCCCACTCAGACAATCTCCATATTGGCATACAAGGAAGAACCACACAGTCGGGAGAGAAAATTTAGAAGGGATAAGAGGAAAGAAATAGAGAAATAAAAGACAAGCAAGATGTTAGAAACAAGACTGAAGGACAAAGAAAGATGACCTGATGTTTGGGAATCTGCTAAAGAAGACAAAAGCAAACACAAGGACAAAAGGAGAACTAAAGACAATGTTCACTTTCATGAAAAAACAAAACAAACATTCAAGAAGAAAAACAAGGCAAAAAACAAAAAAACAAACAAAGAAGAGAGAGAGAGAGAGAGAGAGAGAGAGAGAGAGAGAGAGAGAGAGAGAGACTTCATTGTGAAAAGCCTGTGGCTACCTTCTGGTGTCTATAGTTTTGTCATGGTCTCCAGCGCAGGGCATGACCCTGCTGTGACTGGTAGACAAAGGGGACAGACAGAGCCCAGCTCCACGCTGAGTGACCCAAAAGAGCCACTGGTAGGATTAGGATAGGGCGCTGATTCTGAGGCTTTCAACTCCACAGAAGTTCAGGCTGATGCTAGCCGCTGGTTGTGGGGTTAGTGCCTGAGGTTTCAGCCTTCAACGCCCTGGGTATCTCGTTGGTTTGACCATGGATCCCTGATCCTAGGTATCTCCCATAGTTGTCACTGGGATTTCAACACTGGAAGCCTCAAAATGAGGCCAACCCACAGTCACTCTGAATCCCAGATTCAGTTGGCCCCTTCCTGAAATGGCATCTGGCCAAGCACCCTCTCCAGGGGACTTGGCAGTCCCTTGGCCTGGGGTTGCTCACCAGCTGCTACAGTGCCCAACATTCACTGCTCCATTTGCCAGTTCTGGCAGGGTAGGGAGTGCTTTCCAGACTGCAACTTAATTTTGCGGGTGATAAAGGAGCACCTGCCCTGGCCCCAGGCAGACAGGCAACAGGCATTAGGACAGATTTGAGAACATGTTGGATCCATGGGAGAGGCCAGTGGGGCCATTCCCTCTACATCTCTGTGTCAACATGCACAGGTGAGTCCCTAGGGAGTCTTCCAAGTCACCCAAATGGAGAAAGTCCAGAGAATGTGATTTCTGCTTGTTTGTTCTCTGAGCGACTCCACCATCCAATCTGGATGTTAGATTGGGGATATCCCTTTGGAATCCCCTGGGAGAGCCACATGGAGCAAGCATCCACCTAGCCTGAATTCAGGGTTTGAAACTTTATGTTAGAGACCTGTCAATCTGAGATGGGTTGGTTGATTTTGGTTCTTGCCAAGAAATAAAAGACTTAGCATTCAAATGCTCATTCTTGGGAAGCCATAGTGGGTACCGCAGGGAGTAGCGCTTCATGTGAATGGCTTATGGGCACATTAGTTCCTTTCCAGAGAGCAAATGAATGAACCCTCTTTTACAAATAGTTGAGAATTGCGTGCTGGCATGGTTCTTGATGAGGAGAGACAGTGACTGTGCCCTGGAGATGCTCAGGATCTGGAAGTATCTGCACAGCATTGACACCTGGGATCTTTGGAGCTCTAACCAGACCCATCAAGACTTATCCAAAAAGCCTAGTTAATAGTAGGATCCAACCCCTCTACCTTCAATCATTTTTAGTTCTCAAATTTGCATTTGGAATTTGTCATTTGGGATAGGGATTCTCCATGATAACTTGATGAGGTTGTGAGTTGTTCTGTCCCGTATGTAGTGTACTCCATGGATACCTCCCTCTTCCCTTCCTCAACCTTCCAGGCAGTAAAGAGCCCCAGACATACCACACTGGAAGACCTTCCTTGGGCCTTGTTAGAAAGGCCACCCTTGCAGGATGAGCTGAACCCTCTGATCCCCTCCCTCCACAGCCCACCAGCGTTTCTTCCAAGATCAAGACCAAAGTTGCAGCGTTTGATAAGACACGGGCTGGATTTCATCCTCTGTGTTTGGCTGCCCTGCCCACTACCCTGCCCCTTAGCTTGCTACCTCTCCTCAGAGGATTCAGACATGATTGTAGTTGCAAATAGTTCTCTCCTCCAAATATTAAGGGTTCTTTCTTTCTTTCTTTCTTTCTTTCTTTCTTTCTTTCTTTCTTCTTTCTTCTTTCTTTCTTTCTTTCTTTCTTTCTTTCTTTCTTTCTTTCTTTCTTTCTTTCTTTTTTTTTTTTTTTTTCAGAATCAGATTGAACTCAGGCCCTTGCGCTTGCCAGGGAAGCGCTTATTCCACTGAGCCATCTCTCCAGCCCTGTTAAGGGTCATTTCAGCAGGACTAAAAATGTCCAGTGACTTACTGGCAGGAACAAAAGTAACTGTTTAGCTACCTCAAAATTGTACAAATGAAAATAGACTGCAGTACATCAAGCACTCTGACCTTTTCCCATCCTTCCCATGCCATGATTTTTTTGACTCCTGCTTTCTTTTTCCTACTTTCCTTATAACAAAAACACTATGGATTTTAGGACCATTTCACCAATCAGATACTCTACTTGGAATATCCAGTGGCTGTTCCCTGGGCTATAATCACAACAAAACCCATGTCTGTCTTGGCAAATAAACAAAGCTTACCACCTTAGCAAGAGAATAACTTGTGGCTTCATGTTGACTGTGCTACATGCTACCAATAAGTACCAGAGCAAACTAGGGAAGTGCTCGGCCTAAGCAGGTATTGGGTCTGGAGACCTGGAATCCTCCCTGGAACTGAGCTCAGCCTGAGAAGGAATGATGGTGGAGTAAGAGGTGTGGGGGTTTCCCCGGGAGGGAGAGGGGAAGGTAGGGTAGGCACTTGCCTGGTACAGGCAGGATGTGACAGGTACAAATTAAGAGCCAAAAAGCCTATTGAGAGACTAAGAGGCCAGCTTACAGTGGTGGTTGGTGGCAAAACACAGATACCTTTTCTTGGGAGCTTCCCATCTATGAGGTCACATGGAAACCAAGGCTCAGAGAAGTTAGGAAAAGTGAACCACATGGAGATGGAGGGGGCATTTATTATCTTTGTCCTCAAATACAATGAGCCTGGGTGAATAGATGACATTTGTCATTTACTCGCCCACGAAAGTACTTAATGAAGGGTGTATCCAGTGGGTGGTGTCACCGTGGAAGGAGCTTTTCTAAGTCATCACTGACAGCCTTGTAAAATGAAACAATCCTTAGTACCCTTTTGGAATATTATATTTACCAAAGGAAGAAAATATGTTGATGTATTTCTGCACAATTTATTAGAAGTGAGCTCTAAAGGTGCTTTTCATTTATCAGAATGTTCCATTCCACAGGCATGCAGTTGACTGCAATTTTTCTGCAGAAAAAGGTCTCAATTCTTGCTAAATTTCAATTGATAGTGGAGCTTACGCAAAGCCCTATTTCTATTAAAGGAGTAACACCGAAGGTTTAAGTCAACCAAGGACACAACGAGGCCTCACACAGTCCGGCAAAGTTCTCCAAAAGGTCCTCTTCCCTGAGTGCTTTATATAGGCTCTTGAGAAGTTCAGCTATCGCCTATTCTTAACAGACTTCATCACCTACTCCGTATTTATGCTTTCAGACATGCCCTCCCTGCCGTTCTGTAGCCTTCAATATAATCCATCAATCTCCGTTGTGACCCCAGACAACTAGGCAGATCTCAATCACAGCAGCCGGTATAGCAAAAGTAACTACGAGTCTTGACTAAAAGCTGTTAAGATCCTAACTTCACTCAACTAACATTTACTATGTGCTAGATAGAAAAGATACGGCAGGGGACAGGGCACCACCCTTCTGGTTATACATCCTCAAGCAGCAGTGAACCTCCGTAAGGTGCGTACTCTGTCAGCACGCAAGCCAGGTTCCTCCAGCCCAGGCTGGACAAATTATCAGCATGCATACAACAGGAAACATCATATTATGTGCAAAACAGCATGTTAAATGCAAACTTATATAACAAGAAGTATTTTATCACTGAATGCTGTTACTGTATTTTTAAGACAAAAGATATTAAGTGTATGAGCTGTTTTCCTAAAATAGGACCTCAGAATTCAGGTTTAACGGCAGTGCTGGCACCTCGTAAGTGGACTTTGGGTTGCAGTTTGGGTACTATTTCTCGAAAGTGTTCACTGTCCCTGCTCTAGAGGAAGGCTGTGTTGTCCAGTCTGCCATTCTCGCCTAGCAGGGAGGACCGATGGACAGGATTCCAGGGAGATGAGGAGTGAGGTATCACAGTCTGGATTCAAGGAGCAACCTAGTCAACAGCCCCATTTCGTAGGCAGAGGCCATCGCAGGTGTTAGCAGACTTGGTACAGATTCTTAGTACAAGAGGCAAGCCTCTCTTCATTAGCGAAATAGTAACTTTGCCATCCCAAAGACGGTCTCAGTAGCTGTCCTTCAAACCACAACTTTACTCTCTTAAAGGCCAAGGACATCAATGACTGAACTGTCTTGTACAGATGGCCCATGACCCAAATATAGGGACCAAATGCCCTCACTGTATAGAAATGTTGCATAAATTCCATTGGTCTAATCACTGAAATTATATTAACAGCTACTGAGAACCACTCAATTTTGGAACAAAAGATAAAAGTCCCTGCTGTTTCCATGGTGACAGAAAACACAAACACTTACCCAACAACCACGCAGAGTAGCACATGCTTCAGAAAGGCCAACAGACACCGACCTCAGGCAATGGTAAATCACGGGCTTTATTTTGCAACACAAGAGGTCTGCACCTTTGTGGCCCAACATTTAAACTGGTGCCAGGGAAACTCCCAGCATGGTTTTTATGCTTGCTTTTTAAAGACAATTCAGAGCCAGAAAAATTTACTTTTTAACAAAGAATTCAATTTATTAAGAACTTAATGGACAGAAGAGATAGAAGCCCGCCTCAGCCAGCAGCAACACAAGAGATCTAGATTAGAGACAAGAGGAAGGGGCTTATATGCTAAGCTAGACAAAGGCGTGTATGTGGGCTTTGTCACCAAGTATGAACACATAGTGGTCAGACAGGAACCAACCCAGTGTCGCCAGTACCGGGCGCCAGGTGCTCAGCCACTGCTGTCTTCAGGACTTCACGAGGCAGGGTCGGGAACGCAAGGCGGGATCAGCGGCTGGGCAAGACGGCGGCGATCACCAGGGTGCAACGCGAAGGGACTCTAAGGGGTTTTTCCCCTTAAATACACTGACACAATTATTTACAGACTTCACTTTCATACTGAAGGTAAAAATTAAACTAGAACTTATGGCAAAAATATATTTTTTTTTCTTAAATTTATTTGCTAAATATTTTCAATATTCCGATGACTTCGAGTTCTTATTTTGTTGGTTTCCATGATGCTCTTATCCTGTTTGGGAAGAAAAATCAAATTTGAGTAATTAAAACAAAACAAAAAAAATATTGTGATCAACCCTACTGTGTAAAACTCCAGATCCTTACCAGTTACTGTGCCTTCCTTACTTCTAAAAAAAAAAAAAAAAAAAAATTTAAGGTGGAAAATCAGTTTTAGGATATACCACCTTAAACTTTTCTCAATGTTTTATTTAGTTTCTTAATCCCTGGTTTCTCTTCAGATTGCATAAATCTTTTGCCTTTCTAAAACTTAAATATATCTTTTCAAGCAAAAGCTACTTAATACACAAAACCAACTGCTTTACCAATGTACACATCTTTACCAATAGAAAATTAACAGTCAGAAAAAGTGAATTTAACAAGGACTATCATTTTTGTGTGTTAAACCTCATTCCTCCTGCAGAGGACAAGGTGCAAATACTGATTATGTCCTAAGACATCCTAAAAATCTCATCCTGAATAGCTTGTGATAGAAGTTCATCCACCTAAAAAACTTAAGATAGAAACACAAGACAACTTGCTCTTTTCAGAATGGATGCGCACCCCCCAACACAAACAAGAAACATCTAATTAGAAAAACCCAAGTATGAAACAAGCATACCTTAAAAGAAAGGTTATGAAGTGATCATGGATAGTAGCAAAAAGATAGAACAGTAAGACAACAAATCAAAAAAAAAAAAAAAAGAAAAGAAAAAAGAAAAAGAAAAGTTTAATCTGAATGGAAAAGATCTTAAATTTAAGCCTATCAAATTCTACAGTACCTAGCAGAGGCAAAGCACTAAGCATAAAGCCTGCAACGCAGACGATAACAAGTACAAATATACATGCTGAAAAGGGAAGACGTGCTCCTCCGATGGACTGGCTGGGAAGAGTCTACCTTGTGTCTTTGCTGACTATACGGTAGGAGTAGCAGGCCACCTCAGCCACCAGGAGTCACTCCTTCAGGATTCTAGGGTGGCAGGGACCCTAAACGAAACTCTGAACGGGAGACTTAGTCAGCATTATTGCTACTGTTATAGCATGTAACAATCATAGCTCTTGTGCCTTATCACGTATGCTGAGTTTTAGTGCCAGCCCAGGCGTGCAGTCTCCGACTATCCCTTCCCATGATCCTTCCTCAGCCTCAGTATCACCTGTGAGAAGACATGTGCTTTTCTCATCAATGCCCAGAGGTATCCACCTCACCCTCAGCCAGCTTTCTTGCCTCTCCCAGCCTCTTGCTGTTCATTCTAACAGATGCTCTTATCTGCTTTAGCCAAGGATGAAGATACCACTGAAAAGTTGTAAACTCTTGCCTGGAAAAATTAAATACAAATCTCATACACAGTTTCTGAGTCTATGGACAGTCAGAGACAAAGCACATGGTGGTGCCAGCTAAGTACCCAGCCCTGGAGAAACCTGTCGGTGTGTGTTTGGAGTCCTGGGTGCTGGTGGCTGCAGGGAAGAGGCTAAGAGCTCTTTGCAGAACAGCTAGGTCTGGGCCACCCTTGGATCCCGGTGGCTGTGTATTTAAAATCACCCATGTGGAAAGGACATTGCTTTAATCCTCCACTTTCATCTACCAAGGATAATAATAATAATAATAGTCTTCAAACTATGAATCGGTGTGTAGACCCTATTTTTTTTTTTTTTTTTTTTTTTAAATTGGAAGAAGAGATGTATATACTAACCACAGGAAGCTGTTTGAGATCCTGGTGTCTCCTTGGGCTCTGTGGCCACATCAGAGGTCTCTGGCTCCACCCAGCCTAATTTCTGGTGCAGGCATGGAGGTCACTCTGCCTCCCATCCACTGCAACATTTTATCCATCTCTCCTCACAATGACCTCCGCTACAGCCAGCAAGAAGGGGCTCCTTGCTTAGCCTCCTGATGACCACGGTGTGTGGGGGCATCTGGGGATCCTGACTCTGAGGTGTCAATCAGTTCAAGTTCCTGAGTGGTTCTAGACACCGTCAGTCTAAACAAGTGGACTTGCCGAAACCGTGTAGGCAAAGGGCCAGCTACTACCTTCATTTCATTGGCTGATGTCAGAATACAGGAGTTTTAAGTTCAACGTCTATACGCTAAGAACCATCATACAGCATCCACAAAAAGGTACTGTCCACCTATCTTACTAAACTAAATCATATATTCCCCAGAATGCTAATTGAACTTAATCATGCATTATACATTATTCAAATTATAAATAATTCATGAGCTAATAAATTTGATCTCATTTTAGTATTACATATAGTTCATCAGCTTAGCCATGGCTTGGTTAGGAAGAGTGGAATCACCCATGTACTTTCTATGGAGCAGAACTCAGTACAGTCTGCCCTCAGGACCTCCAGCCCTTGTTTATTCTGGCTTTCCACAGGAAGTCCTCTGACACAGTGAAGGCCACCTTTAGCTTTAGTACATTTTGGTGAACTGAAGACAGACACAAGACATAACGTATAAGGGCCGGCCAAATAGCTCAGTGGAGTAAAGCGCCTGCTTAGGCAGATGCAGGGGCCGGGAATTCAACCCCCAGGCCTGCTGTGCCAGCCCCGCTCCCGAGATGCACTGAGATGGAGGTTGAGACTGGGCGTGGTAGCACACTCCTGCAATCCCAGCACCTGGGAAGCTATAAACAGGAGGATCACTATGAGTCAGATCTACATGGGGGAACCTGTACACCTTGTCCTAAATAAAACAAAAAAAAAAAAAAAAAACCATAACCTATAATCTTCATACAAGCTGCATGATAAGTAGAGAGATACTGGTGACCATATAATTGCCTAAGTCTTTCTGCATGTCTTTAAGAACATTAAACCATTCATTGAAGTAGAATTCCCCAAACTGACATAAGAAAATAAAGCTATCAGAGTAAAGCTCATGGCTTAGTGATGCTCCTTTTACAACTTAGAACTGGCACCATGATGCTACATGTTTTTCATTTGACTTCGTAACAGTGAGCATAAATATACCCAAGTATTTTGTTTTTGTAAGAACAGTGAAATACATACCTTCTCCAAATTTTCTGCAGATCTCTTGGTACTTCGAGTTGTTCTTGGTTCAGAGTCCCTCTCCAGCGTGCTTGCTTTGGGCTGAATTCTAGCTCTCCTGGGTCTCAAACTCACAGTCTCTGAATTGTCGGTTACCTCTTTCTCTTTCTGATTCTTCACAGGGAGATTCACGCTTTTGTCCTTTCCATCCTCTGCTGCTGTGTGAAGCTGGGAGTTCTTACTCTGTCTTCCTGATCTCAAGCAAACCCTGTTTCCACTGGCTTTGCCATCAGATGTAGGTTTCCCAGCTCCATCATCTGGGCTCTCTTGCTCTATCTCTTCAGATGTCTGCATGGTCTTCTTTTCACGTCTCTTTATTTTGGCCTTTTCTGATGTAGGAATTTCAAGTCTTTGCTGGTTTCCGTCAATTTTATTTTGGCGTCTGGTGCGTAAGGACATCCCCTGAAGAAATGAAGTGACATCCACAAAAATTCCAACAATCAGTAAAACACATCACCCAATTGAACACAGAGCAAATAATCAAACCTAGTAATTATAGTCTAATTATTGAAAACTGTCCCACTACATAAACGATAAATGATTTTAGTCCTTTAATGATGATAGTTGAAATGAAACAAGAAGAATGCATTTCTCGAATTTTGGATGCTATGGGAGCTGTAACTCTGCTCTTTTTCACCCTATCAAGACTATTGTCACTATGAAAACACTACCGTGCATTCTACTTCTACCCATCCCTGGCCTTGGTAACAGAGCCATCAATAGTGTCCACCTTTTTTTCTGTTTAATTTCTTAAAGATGAACACAATAATAATAACCTCTCAAAGTTGCAATTATTTTTACTATTTCCTTTACAAAATCGGTTTAATTCCTGTGTATGTCCCAGGAAGTTTTATCAGAACCCTTAATCAAAGTTATTAGTAGTATTCAGAAGAAACCCCTGTAGAAAGGCTATCCATTTATAATTGTACATATCAGGTCCTGTACAAATTACTGCACAGATAAGAAAGACATCCATCCAAAATGACATGCAATAATTATGTAAATTTCCCATCACCTTAATTGGAATGGCTGAGTCTTGCTCCTTTTTGATAGATTTCATATTGTTCTGTTCTTCTACAGGTTCAATTCTGTTTATAACAATTCTTGCGCGCTTCTTCACGATGTTCAAGGGATCAGGGGATTGCTGTCTCTCCCCAGGAGCAGTCCTCTTCTCACTGTGGACCCGATTCTCCTTTATTGGCTCCTGTGGTGTCATCACAGAACACACACCCCTAGTTCCTGTGTTTTTTCCAGATCTTGACTTGGGGGCTAGCAACATGTTACTTACATTTTGTGATGCTGCAGGTTCTTTGGTGTCCACCAAATCTTCTATGGGTTTTTCTTTATGGACCCTAAGAGCCCTTCGCAAAGTTTTCCGAGGTTCGATACTGTCAGGTATCTGCTGTGAAGTGCTCTTTGGGCTACGAACATCATTTATCTGCTCTTCAGTATGGTTTGGTGTTTGGTTTATTTCTTTAGGGCCAGGTAGGTCTTTCACCTGAGACTTTGCCTTAGTTGCTCTTAGGTACCTCCTGTTGCTTGTAATGGCTGGGTTCAGTGTCTGTTCTGAAGATTCTTTAATGTCTTTGTCATCACCTTCTGGCATTTTAGAAGTGTGGGTGGTGACCCTTGACATTCGCGTTGGCTTCCTCACAACTGAGAGTCCTTCTTTCACATTCACATTCCCAAGTCTTGTCCTGAGTTGCCTCTTTGTGTTTGCTGGAGCATCCACTGGTTCTGGCTGTGATGAATTGCAGGGCATTTCTGTGGTTTTTTCATTCTTCAATGATTCCTCAGTGTGAGCTGATTTTGGGATTAGCTCTTTAGAGCCAGCCAGATCTTCCAGCAGTTGGGTCTTTTCTTTACGTGTTCCTCTCAGCCTCTTGTTGCCAGTTATATTTTCTTCTTGGTCCAGTTTTTGCTTGGCAGATTCCTTAAATTCTCTGACACTCTTATTATCACTTGTGGGTTCTTTATGTGTGTCCATGGTCTCCCCTGATGTTCCTATTTGCTTTTTCTGTGCTGAGAGCTCTTCAGTCACATCTACCTTCCCAAATCTTGTCCTGGGTCGTCTCTTTGAGATTGCTGAAGTGTCCCCTGGTACTTGTGGAGATTTACAAGTGATTTTTGAAGGTTTTCCATCTCTCACTGCTTTCTCAGTGTGGCCTGTTTGGCTTACTTCTCTGGAGACAGTCACATCTTGTGAGGACTGAGCTTTTAACTTGGCTGCTCTCTGACATCTCCTGCTGCCACTTACACCTGCAGCAAGGTCCAATGTTTTCTTTTCAAGTTCATCCAAAGGCTTAAGGCCTTTGTCATCACCTTCCGGTACATCAGAGGTTTGAGTAATGGCCCTTGATGTTCGTGTTGGTTTTCGCACTGCTAAGGAATCTTCCTTCACATTCACTTTTCTGAGTCTTGTCCTGCGGTCTCTCTTTGTATTTGTTGGAGTTCTGATGGGTTCAGATTGTGGAGACTTGTGAGGCATTATTGTGGCCTTTTCTTCACTGATAGATTCTTCAGTGTGACCTGGTATTTGAAAGAGCTCTTGCAACCCACTTAGGTCTTCTAGGGTTTGAGTCTTTTCCTTGGGTGCTTGCCGGAGCCTCTTGGTGCCAGTTACATTTTCTGCTGGGTCCAGTTTTCTCTTGGCAATTTCCTTTAACACTTTATTGTCTTTGTCATCTATGACTTTTTTGTGTGTGCGCATGGTTTCCTTCAAAGTTTGCTTTCTCACCACTGAGAGCTCTGCCTTCACATCTTCTCCTATACTTGTTTTAGGACATCTCTTTGAGGTTTTTACAATGTCCATTGGTGTTGATTGAGATCTATGAGGTGTTTGGGGGATTCTGACTGGAGTCACTAGGTCTTTGGTATGCTGTGGTGTTTGGAAGAGCTCCTGGAAGCCAGCCAGGTCTTCTAGGGGCTGGGTCTTTGTCTTACGTGGTTTTGGACAGCTCCTAAGGTCAGTTAAATTTTCTGTCATGGCTAATTTTTGCTGTGGAGTTCCTGTAGATGCTCTGATGCCTTCCCATTCTTGAACTGGTACCAAAGGTGAATGCACAGTTTTGCCTGGAGACTGTGTTAGCTTTCTGAGTGATGACAGCTCTTCTTTCATATCTATTTTCCCTAAACTTATCTTAGAACATCTCTTTGAGGCTGTTAAAGTGTCCATTGATGGTGACTGGGGAGATCTGTGGGGTGATTTAGGGGTTTCATCTGCAGTTGGTGGGTGCTTAGAATGGCTGATTGGTGTTTGAAAGAGCTCTTGCAAACCAGATAGATCTTCCAGAAGTTGGGCCTTTGCCTTAGGTGTTCGTGGCTGTCTCCTAAGTCCATTTAAACTGGCTACTGGGTCACTGTCATGACCAGGTGTTTGAAAGAGCTCTTGGAAGCCAGTCAGATCTTCTAGGACATAGGCCTTTGCCTTAAGTGTTCGTGGCTGTCTCTTAAGTCCATTTAAATTTTCTCTTGGGTTCAGGTTTTGCTTTGGAGTTTCTGTAGATGCTTTAATATCTTTCTGCTCTTGAACTGATACTGAAGGTGTGTGCATGGCTCTGCCTAGTGATTGCTTTTGTGTCCTATTTGATGATAGTACTTTATTCCCATCTGTTTTTCCCAGACTTATTTTAGAATGTCTCTTTGAGGCTGTTGGAGTATACAGTGATCCTACTTGTAGAGACATGCAGGGTGTTCTTGTAGTTTCATCAGTTGTTATTGGGTCTTTGGCATAGTCTGGTGTTTGGAAAAGCTCTTGGAAGGTAGTAAGGTCTTCCAGAACCTGGGTCTCTATCTGAGGTATTCTTGTGCATCTGCTGCCAGATACATTTGCTACTAGGTCTCGTGTCTGCTTTGCAGATTCCTTAAAAGTGCTGATGCCTTTGTCATCATCTTCTGCTGCTTTTGGTGTAAGTAAGACTTGTTTCTCTTTTATAGCCCTTTTCCTCTGGGGAGTACTGGGCAATGCTTTTCTCCTTCTGGGAGTGTCTACTGATTCTGGTTGTAATTTGCCTGGCATTTGTGTAGTTTGTTCATCACTCCCTGGTTCCTCAATGTGACCTGGTGTTTTGAACATCTCTTTAAAGCCAGTCAGGTCTTCCAGGGGTTGCACGTTTTTCTTAGATTCTCCTCTTGGTCTCTTATTGGGAGTAACACTTGCTGCTGTGTCCAGTTTGCGTTTCTTTGATTTCTTGAACATTTTATTGTCTTTATCATCTGTGGACTCTTCATATGTGTGTGCAACTTTCCCAGATATTTGCGTTAAACTTATTACTGCCAAGTGCTCTTTCACACTGCTTCTCTGTAGACTTCTTGTAGACCGTCTCACTACTTTTGTTGGAGTGTCTATGGATTCCCTTTGCACAGATATGCAGGGCAGTTTTGTAGTCTCATCAATACTTATCAGGTCTTTGGCATGGTCTGGTGTTTGGAAGAGTTCCTGGAAGCCAGCTAGGTCTTCTAAGGGTGGGACATCTTCCTTGCATTTCCTTGACTGCTTCTTATTGCTTGTTGCTGCTGGAATCAGAGTCTGTTCTACAACACCCTTAAAAACTTTGTCATCACCTTCTAGTACTTTGGATGTATGCATGGCTTTCTCTGTTGTTTGTGTACGCTTCTGCAAAAAAGACATCTCTTTCCTATCTGTTTTTCCCAAACTTGTCTTAGAACGTCTCTTTGAGGTTGTTGGAGTGTTCAGTGATCCTGATTGCATAAATCTACAGGGAATTTTTGTAGTTTCATCAGGTGTTATTGGGTTGTTGACATGACAAGGTGTTTGAAAGAGCTCTTGGAAGCCAGTCAGGTCTTCTAGGACATGGGCATTTGCCTTAGGTGTTCGCAGCTGTCTCTTAAGTCCATTTAAATTTTCTCTTAAGTTTTGTTTCTGCATTGGAGCTTCAGTAGATGCTCTGATGCTTTTCTCCTTATGAACTGGTACTAGAGGCATATGCAAGCCTTTGGTTGCTGACTGCCTTAGTTTCATGGGGGCTGAGAGCACTTCTTTCATGTCTAGTATCTCCGGACTTGCTCTGGGATGTCTGTTTAAGGTTGGTGATATTCTGAGTAGCCCTCGATTTGGAGAAATATAGGGCATTTTTGTGGTTTCATCAGCAGTTATTGGGTGCTTGGCATCACCTGGTGTTTCAAAGAGCTCTTGGAAACCAGTCAAGTCTTCAAGAAGCTGAGCCTTTACTTTAGTTGTTCTTCGCTGTCGCCTGCCACCAGATTCATTTGTGGTTGGGTTTGGTATCTGTTCTACAGAGTCCTCACAGCAGATGCTTTTGTCACTACCATCTTTCATTTCAGATATATACATGGTTTTCTTTGACATTTGAGTTAGCTCTCTTGCTAGTGAGAGATCTTTCATAACCTCCTTCTCTAGACTTGTCTTACGACATCTCTTTGACATTGGAGAATCCACTGGTCCTAGTTGTGGAGATCTACAGAACAGTTTTGGAGTTTTTTCAGATGTCATTGAGTCCTTGGCATAATATGATGTTTGGAAAAGCTCCTGGAAACCAGCGAGGTCTTCCAGAGGCTGGGCCTTTGTCTTAGGTGTTTGCAGCCATCTTTCAAGTTCACCTAAATTTTCTGACTCATCCAGTTTCAGTTTTGGAGTTTCTGCAGATGTTCTGATGCTTTTTTCCTGAATAGGTACCAGAGGTGTGTGCATGGCTTTTCCTGGTGATCGTGTTACTTTGTTGTGTAATGAGAGCTCTTCTTTCATATCCACTTTCCTGGTATTTATTTTAGATTGTCTCTTTGAGGTCGTTGGTGTGCCCACTGGCATTGGTTGTGGAGATCTGAAGGGTGTTTTTGGTGTTTCTTCTGCAGTCACTGGTGTTTGGAAGAGCTCTTGGAAACCAGCCAGGTCTTCTACAGGCTGGATCTTTGCCTTAGGAGTTCGTGCTGGTCTTTTAAGTTCAGTTACACTCTCTATCAGGTCCAGTTCCTGCTTTGGAGTTTGCATAG